TAATATATTATTGAGCAAATGTCTTTCATCTGTGAAATCTGGAATATTGGTATAATTAATAAATTCATTCCTTACAACACCTATAGCAAACTTAATTGGGTCATTTCAGTATTTAAATCACAACCATTTATAATACCTGAATGCATTGCTATTGAACAAATTCACTTAGTATATCAGAATCAATTTTATCTTACCTTACACTAAGAGCAATATTTACGATATCTTAATGCTATTCATTAAATATTTAAAAATATCGTTCCCTTGTCGAAAGTGTTGATAATAGCATTTCTCGGTTTTTAAACTTTAACGAAGCCAAGATTTTCATATTGACTATCATTTATCTGCATAAATACTTCAAATGCATACTTGCTCCTTCGTATAAATACTCACAATTCTGCAGTTGAGCTCAATCTATGGCATTGCTGTGCTTGATATTTCGATTTTTTCTTCTTGAGCAGAAAACGACAGGATGAAGCCATTGAAGCCATAGAAGCAATAACGTATATATTATCGGCATATGTGCCTCATATTCTAACTTGGAAATGCCAAAAAATTCTCAGTCAAAGCTGTTAAACCATTGCCGAAGCATCAACTGCAGTCAATAGTTAAATCAGCAGTAATTCCAAATCCAATTTGAGGTCGGTGTTTTTTATCCTTCATTTTACGATTGCAGGCATCTCTCTTGGATTCCTTTTTTATCATTTTAGAATGTTAAAATTGCATAAATTGAGGTTGAACAAGATTTGTGGCAGAGTTTAATGGCTCATTAGTGGTTTTGATGTTTACATTGATTCACCTTTTTCACTATTAAGAGATGTTTTTGATAAAGGAAATTCTATCGACTTTAAATAAATTTAAAAGGTAAACATTAAACCACATATATTAGCCATATCTATGACTTTGGTCTTGAGGTATCTCGTAGTTGTAAATCAATTATTTAAATTTATTATTGTGCTTGGCTTCATACAATTAAATTGACTTTAAATTATTATTAAATTTTAGAGGAAGCTTTCATTTACTGCTTAATATCGTTACTTTAATTGGAAAATATTATGCCAGACCAAAGCTGCCCTCAATCCCAGTATTGACCAAATTCGATAATTAAATATATTTCATTTCTTTCATTCACTTTCTATATCTACTGAATTCATTCGACTTTGTAGAGATTTCCAATTTAACCTTTAAAGTAAGATCAAACGTGACTATTAGCCTCATTACGTGAAAATATGAAATACTTCGGTTGAGCATTTGCGATAGTAAAAACTTTATTATTTTCTACGAAACTGCTAAAAAGGTGCCTAACAAGGCGCTAGTGTAGGCTGGCTAAGTGCACTCAGGACTCACACACATATACACATTCACACAACAGTATGAATGAACACTCACACTAAGAAACGCACGAAATAATAGGCGTCATTGAGCTCTGCAAACGTACGAAGAGAACTCATGCGTCTAGGATAATATGCGGAAATTTTCAATTATAACGACATCACTAATGACTTCAACTGGCAGGACTAAAGTGGAAGGATTTTTACTTGTGCTCTTTTTTGCTTTTGTTTCGCCATTTTCCATAGTCATCAGTAGTTGGTGGGCTTACTTTTTATCTGCCTTTTTGTTTAATGCCATTTTTTTTCCTGAAGACTATATGCTTTTTTCTCTATGCTCTTTTAACTACTTGTGCGTTGGTATTGAATGACATTCGCACTTAAAAGCATACGAAGCAGACACTTATTGTCGCCAACACCATCAGCAGTAATGAGTATAATATCCTCGTCATCATCTTCGTTTGTCGTTGTTGCCTCAATGCAACGTCATTATCAACAACATGAGCATCATCGTCAACTCCAGTGTATCATCATTTATGGCCATTGTGCAAAATCCTTCGACGAATGTCAGTTTTATTGTGTCAAATGAAGTCTTAGTGGTGAGTTGGTGTGCGCTAGTCCTTGTCATATGCCATAACCGAAACAAGAGAACAACAGTCGCACAACAACAGGACAATAATATTATCAGCGATTCAATCAGTAACAATAACAATAACGCAGAGCCAGGCAGCCATTGTAATCGTTTCGTAACATTTGAACATTTTAAGTTACAAGAGAAGCATTCGGATTGCATAAATCGTAGATGTCCCCTTTGTTTTTCGTATGTTGCTTGTAAAGTTAATGTGAATATAATGAAATGGCGTCGAAAAGAGGAGCCAGTGTTTACACTATAATGCAGTTTATTCTATTCAATACATATTTATTTTTATAGTAGCAAATGAATATATGGGAATTTAAGGAGCAATAGAATCCTTTTCGTATATAAGTGTCTTCTTAAAGATATGACTGAAGTTGCATCTGTTCATATCTGAAAATATTAAAGTTATTAAAAATATAACTTACAATACTTGCATATCTTTAAAGAGCCATAATTGTTTAATCAATTATAATTACAATACATTGGTATGCTTTCGGATCTGTCAATGATTTCATGTACCTTGGCACCCCCGTAACAAACAACAATAATGTCAGCCTGGAGATCAGACGAAGAATCTTTATTGCTAATATGTGCTACTATAGGTTCAGTAGGCAATTAGAATGTAGAGCTCCATCTCGATAAACAAAAATTATGAAACAGCATTAGGAGTGTTCAATAGAAAAGTTCTTCGTAAGATCCAAATGAACCACGAAGTCCACAAGCTTTATCACATTAATATTACAACATTAATATAACCCAGCGAAATAACAAGTGGTGACATGTCATGTCGTGAGAATGTATAGAAATGCTCCAGCGAAAAAGGTGTTTGAAGCAGTATTTGAAGGAAGAAGGCGTAGAGGTAGACCGTGACTCCAATAGAGTGATCAAGTTGAGGGACCTCTAACCGAATTTTATATACGAGACTGGAGAAACCGCACACGTAGAAAAGGTGCCTAGAGAGACATGTTGCGTCAGGCTGAAACCCGGTAACGGATTGTTATAGCCAAATAATAAAGTAAGTAAGCTTTCGAATGTACTCTTTTAATTGATAAACGATAATAATAATATTAGGTTGTATTGGAAAGTGTTTTCTGGTTTTTACAATAAAAATGATAAAATTGCTTCAAAAAGAGATCGAACAATTTTTACGGTTTACGATGAAGATGTTATACTCGTATGTGAACGCTGGACCCAGCAGTGATTCGCTCGATATTATTGAGAAAATTTGGTTGTCAAAGATGCAACTTACTCTGGTCGACTAGAGAAAAAATAAGTCAATACAATTTTCCAAGTGGTGGTAATAGCCGAAGCGTTATACATTAAACATATGAAAGTTCAGTAAGATTTACAAAAAGCAGATTCTGTAAAGGCTTTCGACGCTTGTGTACTACTCTTTGAAGTTCATGATCAAAGTTCGTGACTCTCCACAAATGACTTCAAAGCCTAGATTGACGGCAAACAAGGTTATGTTGGTGAGATTCGATAGGAATTGTCTATTACGAGTTGATCCAACTCAGTGGTTAATTTGGTATTCTACTGCTTACCATTGGCTTATTTAAACTTAATTAAAAGGAATTGTGTGCCATCATAACAATACCTGCCCAAACATAAGTTAAATGTTTCAAAATAAATTGACGTAACTTCATTAAGAACTTTATATGAATATACCGTATAGTCCGAAACTTGCACCATTTTCTTTCGGTTTCTCTTAATTGTAAAAAACTGGCTAACCGAAGACGCCGAGGTCTTCGAAGTCGCCGGGCTTATGCAAAAAAATATTTAAAGATCTCAATATAAAATAATAGAAGCAAATTTTATATACCTCGTTGACTGATACCTGTGTTTGATTTATAAATAACAGAAATTCGGAAGAACCTCTTGAAAAAGCATTCTGGATCGAAATGTAATATTTTAAGCATCGTATCAATTTTGATTCAACAAAGTTGATTAAGAGTATGATGGATGTTGCATATTTCATATTTTTTCAAAAAATTTTCTTTGTCGTACTCAACTATGATGTCACCCCTATTCCAAAAATTTTTCTACCCCACATATAGCTTTTATTATAATAAATAATTTAACTATGGATTAATTCATTTTCTATTAATTTTTCATATTCCATTTAATAATAAAATTAACTATATTAACTCCTATAATAAAAGGACATTTATTGAACTAATGATAGTCATTAATATATTGTTTATTGAATTTATGGCATGAATAGACGTGTATAAAATAAAAATTGCTACGTGTTGTTGTTGTTGTGGTTTGAGTTAGTGCTATTGCGTACTTTTATTCTTTTATGGTTGGGGGTCTTATCCTTTCCCCACACTAAGCTTTAACTATACTAGAATTATTATCATTTATTTATATTTTAACTGAAGATGGATCAGCATATCTTCCTGTGCGTCCTGAGGTGGATTTAAGGTTTGTTAGGGCGGAATGGGGCAACGTATCGACTTTTGTGAATAATTTTAGAGCTCTGTCTATGCATATCTGTTGTCATAGTATACGAAGAAATCTTAATTAGTCTTTCTAAAGCCAGATTTTGTGATATCTGTAATTGCTTTATGGCAGTATTTGAGGCTTTGCTGTATGTTGCACATCTGTACAGTAATGCTGTCCTGATTATTTCAGTATATAATAACTTTCCATTTTTGAAGTTGAATCGATTATTATTTAACAGCGGCTTTAGGAGATGTGGAAGTTCAGAGCAACTAGTCCGTTTGCATTTCATATGTTTATACCAATTAAACCGTTTGTCAAAAGTGACCCCCAGATATTTTATGCTTTCCTCCCACCGTATCTCCGTGCTACTGACGCTCACTTCTGGAGGATGTAGGATTATGTATGTGCTGGCACTAATAATAACTGTCTCGGAGACCATCATTTTTTGATGGCCATTCCGAAGACTTGTGTTGGACTAATCTGTCAGGTTGGCACCAACAAAGTAAGGGTAATATGTCTTGACCGTGAAAGCGCCTTGGCATACAGTATTACGCACATCACACAAAAAAAACTGAATAATTGCTACTTATAAAATAAAAAAATTTGTTGCTTTATTATAAAACACAGTTAGACTTTAAAAGTATAAATTATTCAACATTGTCTTTTTCAGGGCCCAAATGATATTTGAGTTTTGCTTCTAAGTCATCCATATTAATGCCCCTGTTGTAGTCTAGCTTAACCTAGAAAAGTATTTGGTATATAGTAAATATACTAACGTTTATAATTAATTTTATTACTCCATTTTTATAGATAACAAATGTTGGCATCTCCATGATTTCATATGTAGTCCCTAAGTTTGCACACTTCTCCAAGTTGAGCGTATAAAAACATACTTGTTTATACTTTTCACTTAATGCTTTGTAAGAATTTGCAGTTCTAATACAAGGTCCATGCCTTATATGAAATTTGTTATATATATTGTCTATTAAATATTGTATTGAAACACATACCAATCAGTAGAGAAGTTTACCACCATCAATTTAGCTTCAGCCTTGAGGAGTGCCTCATTAAATTGTCTGGTACTAACAATTTCGTCCAACATTTTATTCAGAGTAGTGACACAAGACTCAAAAACAGATAATTTTTTCTGCTATTTATTTTTAATTACAGTTTTAAAAATATATATTGTCAGTTAGGAAATATATGAAAATATGTCAAATTACTTAGTGAAAATTGAAAATTAAACACAGATAGCTTTGTTTTTGGTCATCGAGTATCGGAAATATTCCTATAAGGCAAAGTACAAAGGAAAATCATGCTGAGCATAATTAAAGCACCTTCAAGCTATTACTTAACAAATTAAAAATTTGGTGTTGTTGTTTCCTTACTTAATTTTAATATCCCCCAGGCAAGTGAGCAGTGCAACTACACCACTGTCCTTATTGCACACGTATTGGGATTCAAATATGTACCGAAACATAACATAACAGGATGAGAATGTTTATCACAGAAAGTTCCTTCGATGTTGGTTATGTTTTTATTTTATATGCAGCCGATTGCTTTTTTATTATACATTTCCTACGTTTCCTTTTATTATTATGAATTTTTACGTAGTCTGGGTGTACCGTTGCTCCTACTGCTGCTGTTGATGTGCAAGTATTGCAGTTGTCATTAGTTCTGCCCTTAACGTTGCGTACTCGTACAGATTGAAACTTTGATTTTTTCCGGTACGTGTACTCCATTCCATTGTAGCCGCAATTATTCAAGACAACTCGACGTGCTCCTGCCAGCAACTCTGCTGCACTCCTTTAGGTATTAACTCACAAACTTACGACCAAATGAAAAGACGTATACTTGCCTTTCCTGCATAAGCAGAAGTACATCAAAATCAATACAATAAACAATTTTAAATAAAACCAACTTGTAGTGGCAACAAAATAGTGGCAGGCCACATCGCACACAAATGCTACTTCCACAAGGATCCGTGCCAGTGCGAACAGCATGTAATCAGTGTTCGTCACTTTGCAATATCCTTGACAGTTTCCATATATATTTTTTCCTTTCTCTGTTTTATATTTGTTTATTTGCTTGTTGCACGTTGCACGTTTATGTGTTGCAACATTTTACTTTACCATTTATTGTCAATGTCTGCGTAGAAATGTTGTAGTCGTTATTGCTGAACTAATGTTGTTGTTTTAACTATTACTGCTGCTATTGCTATAAGTTCTTGTTTAAAGAATTTTATCATCGACTGTGTCATCATTGTGTTTATCATCATTGCAGTCGCTATGACAGGGTTTTGTTTCTAGATTGCTATCCGCACAACATTGCTACTACTGCATCGCTCCAATCTGCAACACCAACGGCAATTGGAGCAGCAGTTGCAGCTGCACTAAATTGAATTGTTATCGTTCTTGTTCTATTATCATTGGCAATGTAACAAAATAATTGTTAAATTTGCCGTATTCTACAGAAAATCCTGTTTACAGTTTTTCAATCTTATCAGGATGTGAAATTACTTAAATTTACTGAAGGGGAGCTGAAAAGAAGCTATGGTTTCAAATATGCTTTACTTAATTAGGCATACAAGCACTAAGGAGCTCTTATTCTTATTAAGGCTATTTTATCGCATTGAATGTAGCTATTTAGGAGGATAGGGTCCTGTGAAAGTAACTTATTAGTAAAAACTATTAAACTCTTTAGCTTAAAACACTTTAAGTTTAATGTATAACACATTCAAGAAAACATAAATAAACTATTTATATGTACAACTTAGGTAGTAAAATAATGAATAAAACTAATATATGTACGCTTATGTATGATCGATCTTATACAGTAAGATCGGTTGAACATCACAATTTGCCAAAAATTTTTTAATTTAATAATTTTTCTCTACACTCTCTCTTTGTAGAATATTCTATTAGTATAACTTTGTTTAGTAGTGTAAGAGTTAAGCAGATTTTGACTGAAAAGTTGCCACTGATAGTTGATTGATCCTGTATGATTTATACGATCTGATAAAAACGATCAAATTTATAATACATAAACAGTCATTTATTTACTTACTTAAGTTCCACAAGCCTCTAACTTATTTCAAAACTAGGATTGGTTTCCGTCTAAATGACATGACCAGGTACATTATCATGTACCTGGTGAATGATATATCTTATACGATCATATAAATTAATAATTAAAAAATTAATTTCATACTTTAGAGAGAGTGCCATGGATTACTAAGATACACTTATAAAGCATAAGCTTTTAAACATAAAATTAAAAACTTCTAACTCAATTCGTTAAATAAACGAATATAGTTGACAAATATATATTATAGTTAACGATATATATGTCATATTCAGTTCACTAAAGTTATCAAATAAATTGTTCTATTTTAATAACATCATTGCATACAATAATAAGTATTTAGTATTTAAAGCTCAGACCTTACACCATCTGAGTATCATTTGTTATAGTCTCTGTGAAACGTTCCAAATGGTAAGAAATTGTTTGATCCAGAAGCCATTGAAAATCACTAGACAAAGGAATTATGAAGGTACCCAAAAACACCAAGACATCATAAATAATTATGACCGATATATACTTGATTGAAATTATTTTTCAATACTATACATTGTTTAACTATTCCAGCTCTTGTAATTAAATTTGATTTAACTCCAATTTGTTTAAGTCCAACAATCCTTTTTATAAACCGACTCATATTTTATGGGCAGTGTTCTAAAGTTTTTGGAGTTAATCATTGATGTATAAATATTGTGATTGAAAGAATTCGTAGTTATATTTTTATTGAATAGATGAAGGAAATTTTTTGTTAAAAAACTTACTAAGATATCGTTCATATTACTAATATTAACCAATATTGAATATATATTTCTTGCACAGAAATAATTAAATCTCATCGTGGTTTCGCTGGGTAAGAATAAAGGCCTTAAACCATTCAAAGGTCTTAAAAGAATATAGAAGTATTTACATATTAACAAATATTAATATTTATTATTTAACGAAACTTAGAACAGCCATCCAAAATTGACTCACCACAGATGATCAAGCAAACATTGAAGTGACTATACAAAGATTATCAAACAAGGATTGTTCCGAAATAATTTTTTTGTAATAATCGATTCAAGATCGAATCAGAATGATTTTTAGCCAATTGAGAAGGATTCGTTTCTCTATCCACTTCCCCGATCCAAGATTATAACCAAATATTTAAATTTGTATTAAAATAAATTTTTTATAATAGAGTGGATGTATGTAAGAACATTATTTCATTATTTCAAAAATGTAGGATCTGCCTTTTTCCTGTTGTTCCCTTCTTACACAAATATCAATAAATATTATTAAAATTTGGCTTTGGGTGACTTGGTTAAAAATTTTGAAGTTAAAATTATGGAAGGGAACGAGTTTAATCCTTGGTACGTGCAGTCTCAAAATTTATTTACAAGAAATAATTCCGAGAACACGGTTGATGGGTAATACTTGAAACAGCTGTATGGTCAGCCAAAAATTCAATTAATTAAAAATAAATAAAAATTTTGTTGTTGCAATTCACTATTGTTAAAAACCTTTATTTATATTTCTGCAAAAACCCATTAAGAAAATATCATTAATTTTCTACAAAAATTGGTTTTATCTCCGCTATTTCTTTAAATGATATTTCGATTATTTAATGTCTAATACATACTAAAGTGTTTACACTGAACTTTTAGTTCATTTATTTCAATTGACCTCAAAAGAGCAATAATCTATATCTTAAACTTAAAGTAAATATGAAAAAAAAAGTTTTTCCATATTTACTTCTTATGTGGTTTTCACTTAAAATTTGGGTCAAACGCCTCACAAATCCTTGCTGGCAACATTAGAAAACAGCAAAACCATGTTGCACGGAAATTGCACATAGGTTAGAGAAGGCAGCACATTATTTATTTCGTTGTTCGTTTTGTGGTTCCGAGAGATACCTACCAACAACAAAACAATCAACAATCGTACATCATACATTCATACCTTTTTGTGTGTACTTCTCATACATGGTAGGGAAAGGCATTTTCACTGAACAAGTAACATCCTAAGCAGCTGAGAGATATTAAGACATATCAAAATAGAAAACATGTGCAAATGCAAGAAGGAGCAAACTTCAGTACCGCATCCGCATTAACCTCGAAAATCAACCAAATGCCGAATTGTTTGAATGCCGCATTTGCTAACTTTTACTACAATTTCAGGCTGCACATTTTACTTTTTTTAACATTTGTAGGTCATGACACAGCGAAGCCTTAAATGCTAGTCAGATAATGTGGGAGTAAGCAAAGTTGAGTTCAACCATTGTTAAGTTAACCTCAATGTGCAACGACGCAGGGCGAAGATGCAAACGTACAAAATTTATTTATGAAAGGGAAAACGAAACGATAATATTAAGACATGTCATAGGTCGATCTTTGAAAACCGCTATGTAGCACAAAGTCCTACGAAAACTCCCAGTTGTCTTGAGATTTTTATTAATAATTAAAGTAGATGAATTTATGAATTTATGGAATGTTAAAATTTAATTTCTTTAAAATTTACTGGCATAACTTGAAGTAACATGAAATTGGTTTATTGTAGCGTGCAACGAATGAATACGGATTGTATCTAGAATTTTTAAGACTTAAGAAATTTTTACACAAGTATCTTCATTTGTTTGTATCTACCACAGCATGAAATCATTACAGTTGTGACAAACCTTGTACTTATACCTTCACGAGTAGAATATTTCCCAGGTTTATTGACTTTTAACATCTTATAACACCGGGTTTAAAATATCAAGTACATAATATACTGTATTTAATAAGGAAACATTATCTCCAACTCAGTGCTATGATTTATTTAACTTACGAATTCACAGACCAATTTCCAATGATCAAAAACTGTTCTTGAAAGACTCATAGAATGCTTAAAAAAACTAATTGTTTAAAATGAATATACGTTTGATGGTACGTATATAACCCCTTAGAAAAAAAAAACTTAGGTGAAAAGATTTAAGTCCATACAACTGACCTGTTAACGATCTGTGTAGAATCTGACATAAATTATTTACTTAGGTACTTTCTGCTCAAAAAGTATCCGGATTTTGTTGTTTGTAAACTACTCTTTAAGTAATAGACCTTTTTTAAAAATTTTTT